TCCAAGTGTCAATACTTGAAAAAAAGTAAACCGCCAAAATATACGAAAAATTATGAATATCAATTTCATATAATTCAGAAAAATGGATAAATCGCAAAATGATTTACTCCAGATAACTCTAGTCAGTAGATTATTGCCATCAGAATGAAAACAAATGATCAAAAGTTCAAGTACAGTCAAAAATTCAAAAAGTAAATACATTTGGGGAAGGCAAAAATAATTTTGAAAGTAAATTTCCTACGTACCAAACATCATGAGAGCTATATCAGTACACCAGAGATCCAACAATTAGGCTATATATGCGTACATGAAAAGTCTCAAGAAATCAAAAAACTGCACATGAAGAAATACTTTCAAAAACTAAGAGGTTAGTGATCAAAAATGAAAAGCATATAAGAATATGTAAACTATCAACAACAATAGTCACAACCTCAATCAAAAGTTTGATGATATTCGACAAAAATGCTGGGAAACCTAAAGTCCCCAGACTATCAATATTCAACAACAAAAAAATATCAAAATATCATCAATCTCAAAAGTACAATGAGAAAAAAGTTATAACTGTCCCCAGCAGTAAATAAAAACTATAGTAGTATGTGAGAAAAAAAATTCTGGCAATGATCTCGCTGACTACTAAACAAGACAATTTAAAAGTTAATAGTATGCCTATGAAATAAACAGGTGGAAAAATTTTAATCTTTTGATAAAAATTTTAAACATTAAGCAAAAAGTAAGGATGATTAAGGAATTAGAAATTTGAGTACCAAAAGCAATTAAAAATAGAAATGCTGCCAAAGATTGTAAAGAATTTTGAAAACTATGTTCTGTTTGCCAATCTTCCACTAGCAAACCACTTGTCGACAAAGCCAAACACCTATCGAAGCCTCACGTTGCGGGTGCCAATTTATGTAACGCTTCCTTTCCGCAAAAAGTCCAGAAAAGATGGAATGCAATGAAGATTCCAACTTTTCTGCACAATCACAGAAAGGGGGTTACCATTAGCTTCCGGTAGCTCAGTCGGTGGCATGAAGACATCTACAGGCGTGTAGCTGTGTGTCGACCATGGCATGGCTAGAGGATAGAAGAACAAACAGAACACAAAAATTTAACAGATTTTATTTAACAAAAAAAAAGGCATTTTCATTACATTACAATTTTACAAAAATAACAAAATAAGTTTTACATCTTTGGCGCTGCTATAACGCTATCGACTTATCTTTCGCTGGTCCATTTTTACTCGACTGAAGCCAGGATGGCCAGGGGCTTGAAGGGGAGGTCCCAGTTATGAGGGGTGACCTCCATATAGTGGCTTCACAACCAGTTGTAGGCGAAGTTAAAGGCGATGGCGCTGCCAAGGTACATGCATGGGTGAAAATATTGGCCAAGGCTAGGCAAAGTGAAAGGGAAAGAGAAAGGGGGTGGCCCCAATCATTTTTGTCCTATACGGACACACATTCTAGAAAATTCTAGCACATGGTGCTATATAACCTTGTGCTACTGAGAAGAAATTTCTAGCCGTTGTTCGATCGGCGGCTCAAGTGAAAAGGAAGCGCGAGGAAGATCGCAGATCAGGAACTCCGCATCAAGCGCTCCAAGCGGAAAATTTTCCAAGCAAAAAAGCTAGAGATGGGATTAATGAAATGATAATCGAGAAGTGATTTAATAAATACGATCGGACGGTGAAACCGTTACAACAGTAAGTACAATACAAATACACTAAAAGAAATAAAATCAGTAAGGAATTGGAAACGTTTTTTATATAGATAAACATTTACTTTTACTTTCCACGCGTACTGGCGAGAAAGCATTGGAATCGCGAGACATTTGGAAAATGAGATTTTTTTTGTATTTTGTATAACTATATGAAAAACCATGTCACTCATTTCCTTAGGTCTGCCTGTCGGTCTGTTTGCCGGTCTGTCTATCAGTTTGTCCGTCGGTCTGTATATCGATTTGTCTGTCAGTGTGTATGTTGGTATGTTTGTCGGTCTGTCTGTCGGTATGTCTGTCTGTCGGTCTGTCTGTCCGTTGGTCTGTCTGTAGGTCTGTCTGTCGGTCCGCTAATCCTGGACCCGTCTATAACTTGGTAAGTGCCGATCGGATTTGGGTGAAATTTTTGAAAATCGTTCCAGTTCCATTCGGACGATAAAAATTAAAATCGCCCAAACTTCGTTTTTTGTTGTTAGAGGATATTCCGCTGCAGAGAAGACAGCAGATGGATTGGATGGAGCGTTGGATTGGACGAGGGGACGCAGTTTCTTGGCCACCCCACAAGCCCAATTTAAATCCCTTGGGTTATTACTCGTGGGGACATATGAAGTCTTTAGTGTATGCAGAGAAATCGCATACCAGGGCTGAACTGCTCCGTAAAATTACTGATATCGCTGACGACATAAGAAGTAATCGTCTTGTTATTGGGAAATCCACCAGTCACATCATTAAACGGGCTAGACTATCTTTTCAGTGTGTAGGTGGACACTTTGAACAACTATTTTGAATAGTTATTTTTATTGTACCTAGAAATTTTGTATTAAATAAAATTAATTTTCCAACAATATTGCGGTTTCCCACCAGTAGCACCCTAAAAATAAAAAATCATTATCTCGATAAGGAAGCATTTGCGGGCCCATGTTCATAGGACTTGTTCCACCCGGATTGACCTGGGGAACACGTAGAAAAATGTTGTCACTTACCTCGCGGGACACCCTGCATATTTATCTTTAATGACATTATGTAGGTTTTTCCGGAAAATATTATCGTTGAACTGTCTTTCAATTCATATGTTCACTTGCAGTAGCTGTGCGTGTTGCCTAAATGTCGTGACTCTTGATATACTGTATATGGTGTGACGTAATATCTTACTCCAGAAATGGCACTATTGGAGGCCGTTTATAGCTCCTATGGCCTAAGCTGTAAGCTTTATTTTATAGTTGGAAGGAAACACTAATAATCTATGTTGATGATAATTCCGTTGGTGTCATAAAGCATGCTGCCAAAATGTGAGTTGCAGCATCTTAGGCAACATAGTCGTTGAACCATTCCTCCATACGTACGCTCACAGTGAGTAGGCGCGGAATGGACTTAGCGACCACCTAGTACACAAGTTGACATAATACTGACTTTTAATCATATTGTATCGATTATTTTTTACGCAATACCCGTGCTAGTCCTCTGGAATTGACCCTTCGGGATTATCAGAAATTCATTGTTGGATAGAACTGAACATACGCGTAATAATAATGATGCTGCGGTTATAGAAACAATCATATGTGCTTCGCAAGCGCAAACTAATATTTTGCTATTCCATTTCTTTCAGTGAATCCAAAGCATGTCCAAGAAAAGCTAGCCCACGACCTAAAACACTCTAAAGACAACATGGAACATGGTAGCGTCATCGAGAAGAAGCCGAAAATAGAGAAACATCATCGAGATCAATATCCAGACGTTGTGGCTATCAGGATAGATGAGAACGACTTACAAGACGGGATTGCACAGACGCCTAGAGGAGCTATTCTATCTGTAACACTTGGTGAGATTTAAACTCTTCTTTGCTCACTATTCGCCGGTAGAGACGTGCATAGTGGGGGGAACTGAATCGATCGTTGCGCACGCGTTGTACAAAAGGGAAACATCATCGGACTGATAGTGGAGCATAAGCGTTGCCTATATGGTGAAATCTATGTCATGTGTGGTTAACTGATTCATTGGCAATAGTGCAAACATTTGGCTGTCATCATTTGGCAGATGAAAAGGAAATTGCTAATTTTAAATCCAAATTGTTCGCTACCTCAAATCAACTAAATATCCACAAGAACAAATATTTCAATCCAACGAAAGAAGGTAAAGCTCATGTCACTGGACTGGATACCACAAAAGCTTTCGATCAACTCTTATGCAAACTTCCATCCTATGGCCTCCCAGAGAAGCTTTGCGGAAGGATGGCTGACTTCCTCTCTGGCTGCGTCGCCAATCCATCCAACAAAGTAAACACTGATGTTCCCTAGGCACCGGTCTTGGCTCGAACACTGCTTCTATTACATATCAACTACCTCCTCTCCTCTTCGATCAATCTGATGATCACTACTTTGATACAGCTTAACGCTTCAAAGGGACACACTGTGGTATACCTTGATTAAAAAGAAGCGCCCTAGCGTTCATCCGGTTTCGATGGATAGCCGAGTTCTGCCAAAGAGCCAATCTTTTTGGCTGGTCGGAGTCTAGATCACCAAGAACTTGACTTGGCACTAACACATCTCTTCATTCGCAACAGCTGCTGAGAAACAGCTAAAAGAAGTGATTTTCTCCACTTTGCACAAGGCTCGGATAAGACCTAGCCTCGAGTACTCCTCACGTGTTTGGGGTGCTGCCCGTCTGACTATATTGTCCATACTCGAGGCTGTTCAGAGTAGGAATGCCCAACTAATCGATGACACCGCTCTAACAGACAGCCTCGCGACTCATTTGCACCCACGGTCGCCGGTTGCAGATCTGGCTCTCTTCTACCGCTGTAGCAACAGGATATGCTTCTCAGAGCTCTCCTTAGAGATGCCGCCGCGCGTTCAGCTTGCCAGATGAACCCGCCAGGCTTCTACCTCCCGTCCTAATTCTATCGAACTTCATGCATCCAGAACTGGCCAGTAAGACCGCTCTTTTGCTCCTAGGATTTTGAGATTGTAAAGTAGTCACCTATGGAGGCTTTTCTTAGTTCTGTACTTCAAAAAGCGGAATAACATATAGTAATAACTAAGCTCCTGACAGCGTTCACTGTGCCTCGGCACTTAGGTTCCTGCCTACGCCAATGCATCAGTATACAAAAAAGTGGCGCTACCAAAGCGCACCCAGCGAATAAGCCAGATGATTTTGATTTTAAACGGTCGGAAATAAAATTTTGTGTAGCATGGGCGTGATCAGCGTTTATATTCGAGTTATTTGTAAGCCCTATATACATAAAATTCTATTCAAGATTGTCACATGGTGATACGTAATTCATTTTCATACAGGTCTAATCATCACCTTCGTCATGGCTGTCATGATCGTGTGCAGACTGAGGATGGTGAGAAGAAGGATCAGAAAAGGAGGAAAATCATACGCCCATGATGCTGATTTTCTAGTCAACGGAATGTATTTGTAAGAATAAAATTTGTAGAAATGCTTACGCTATTCCCGAGTCCTAAGTAACTGGATAATTTATTGGAGATCCTTCTATGAGAACTTTGGGGTCGGTTGTCAGTAAATTGGGAGATATGATAAAAAAATAGGAGAATCAACTGTTTCTGTTTTCTTATCGGGCATTGATTAACGTATACCACCTGAGGATACCAAATTAAAATCGGCGTCAATATAATAAATATATATATATATATATAATAGATGTCAAAGATGGATTGAAGATCCTAACACCATATATGAGACAGTAGCAAAACCAACCAAATGGATTCTTTTTCTTCATTTTTGAGTTCTGCTAATGTCGCATAGACGGCGCTGGTATCTTTCAGATCTTTTATGGACGGAAAATTAGCTACCTTTAAGCAGAATACGTTAATCAATGCACATAATAGAAAAGAATTGTATTGAGCATATTGTTCAGGTATTTCCAAAGTGCTAGAATTTGTTGTAGTCAAATATCAGCTATTCTAATGGTGAAATTAGTGCATGATATAGTCTGCAATTTCATATCATAGATTGTTTAAATAAGTTACTGATTTTAAATTGAACTCGTTCGATGGATATCGAAACATTTAAGTTACCATATGTATATTTTTGAATTAAGATTTGTAGATATACCTACTCGGTTCTATTTGTGTTTAAGACTTAAATATTGTTACATACATATACAGATAGGGAAATTTCGAAAACTGGACTATCGAAAAAAAGAAAATTCATGGTTGACAACATACATGTCATCTCTCTTGAATCTGAATGTTTTTATTACCTTCTCAATTTCAAAATTTCCGTATGTGTACTCTTATTGTTCGTATTATAAACATTAACAATAAAAAATATACAAATTTTTGGGCTTTTACTTACCCTATGTAGTTACCACCAGCTATAGCTAGAAGCTCATTTTGCTGAAATGTATTGACATGTTATCTCTTATGATAAAGGAAAATAACACGACACTTTGGATTTTCCAAACAATATATTCGCATCTGATGGGAAAAATATTCTGATCTAGATTTTTTGGATAGTCTTATTCAACAAGGCCCCTTTGAAATCTGCATGGTGCTAGACCCAAATTTGCATCAAACATTTTTTAAGCAAATGTTTTTAAGTTTTTTGCGTAATTCTGAACAAAAAAGTGGGCAATGGCATAATGGCAAGCCGACCCGAGCCAACACGCTTGCCAGCTTATATTTTGCCTGTGTGTTTGATTGTACCTCTAAGTGGTTTCATTATTTGGATGTTTCTTTGTGTAAAAAGGTAAGTTTTGTGATAATTACTTAGCTTAATTTGAGCATAAATGGTATTTACAAGATCATAAATAACCAGCCTTCAAGTGTGACAGAGTTATTTGCGATAAAATATAAAAGGACCAGCATACTTCTTATAGGACTTTGGGATTGCTGGATTTATCTGAAAATTTATAAGAAAGTTATATTCACAACATACCAATGAAAAGTCACCACAGTCACAACTTGTTCGAGGTACATCAAAAATGATTATTTTAAATATCTCAATTGAAGACACGATTGGATGAAGGTGCTATGTCACATTTTGATAAAATCCGTTTTTTCTGTATGAATGGATGTGTACGATGTACCTATTTTTCACATGGCTCCATTAAAATTGTAAGATTCATAACAGAAGTCTAGATTTTTTAATGGATGAAGGAGTTATGTTAAATTATTTTCCACTAAAGAGTAGAAGGTGTTATAGGCACAAAATACCTTCATCCACGTATTATGTAATATTTTGTATACCTTAGAGCCTTAGACATATGAATGATGGTGTTCTGTGACACACATAACCCTTTCATCTACACACTGGCCAATTTGTTTTACTTCTTTAGTCGGTATTGTGCGGACGTGTTCTGTGTTAGTATTTTACATTCATATTGTAATATTAATGCAAGTTAACATTCCAAATGGGGGCTCCAGGGGTAAACAAATGTTAAAGCTAGTGGAGGAACACAAAGCTGGGTTACCAATACAAAATAAGTTATTTCTGATCATCCTACCTATCATACTGCTCAAAAAAAATGGCCAAGACAAAAGTTGCAGAATCTATGGAATGGTAGCTCAGCTGAACGAATTTTTTTTCTCTAGTTGTAGATGCACAGAATTAGCTTAAAATCATTTAAGAAATGCATAAGGATGAATATATTTTTTTTATTCGGCTTCTCTCCAACATATGGCGCAGCATATCGGTAGCCATCACAAAGTCCACCGTTTTGAATGATTACCTTGGGCTGCTGAAATCCGTTCAGTGTTCAGTAAGCCCCAATGCATGCACCATGCAAGGAGGAGAATGATTTGTTTTTCAACAAAGTCAAATCAAAACGTAAATATTAGATACAGCAAACTAATCCAAACAAAATAGTCTTTTCATCAGAAAATTTAAGTTTCTGAACTTTGCTTTGAAGGTGCGTTGCCTTAGAAGAGCAAACAGCAAATCTCCAAGAACAGCTTAAGTATGTGAAACCAGAATATCAATGCCTCTATGAACCAATCTTAAAAAAATAATAATTTGTCATTAAACTGTTATTAGCTTATATTAAGCAAAAATAATTTGTTGTTTCCCGTTTTCTTAGCTGGTTAGGCATGATTTTCTTCAATATTTCTATTCTTCCGATATTTTTCTATACTTTGTGCAAAATAGATTTTGTATGCAGGATTCTTGCAACATATGTAAATACCTTTTTTTAATATATTTATGAGAATAACAGTATCTACTGTAGAACGAAAAAATGTCAGCATTTGTTTTCATTAAGCCTTTATCTTTCATGACCTGCTTTTTTATAAATGTCAATATGGTTGAACTAAGATTATACATAGGAATATAGGATATGTTAAAACAAGCAGGCTAATATTACATAATTTATTCAATAATATGACACTTGAGGTATTAGTAAACATACATAATCTTTGGGATTGTGTTAAGAAAAAAAAATAACATGATAAATCCTACAAAACAACCGTCAACAAAAAATTAACACGTACCTACATACATATATTCAAATATCAATCTACGAAAACATTGAATCTGCCAACCTCAGACTCCTGAAGCTACAAATTAATGTTTTTCAAAAATTGATCTCAAGTCTTTTTAACATGAAAATCACACTTGTGCCTCCATCAGTGCTTAAAAACCAATACCGTGTAAATTTAACCTGTGACAAAAAAATATGTACAATTCTTAAGTAATCGTCAAATCAGATCTAAACAAAAAACAACTCATAGCTGCAAATATTTTGCTCAGTCACTCCTGTCACAAAATACACAAACTCAACAATAGTTTACAGGTCAAGTTGAAATATGATCTAAAATAAAGATTTCAAATGTAAAAATATTCCCTTTATATCCAGCATTATGTAAAAGGTCCCCTAACAGGTATTTAAGAATTTCCCAGAACCTTAAGACATTTCATAACAATCAGCAGACCTGGAGCAAAACATATCTAAGCTTATTGGCGAAATTGAGCTTTAACTGTATCAAGATGTTAATGAAAATTTTAGTCGAAGAAGAGGGGACATTTGGAAAATATTATTTATAAAATATACTCTCGTACTTTTATATTCTGATAAACAAGCATATTTATCAAAATTATTGGCTTTATTTAACAACCTATTGGAACGACCTTTTTGTCAAATACCGGTGGTGAATATACGGTATTTAGGATTTCAATTCTCCGCCAAAAACAAGCTTAAGCAAGTCGACAAGTTGAGGAAATAAACCATCCAAATAGTATAGAATAGCATGCTTATTTGGAACATATGAAGAAATTAAGGTAACCATTAATATTTGGGCACAATATGCTTAAAAATTAACAAAATGTATACTCCCATGGCGTGCTTCATGCCTAACTTTCACTAGAAATATTGACAAATATCTGTATATGTAACTAGTATAACAATATATGAATACTCTTTGTGTTTCTAAATTCACCTATTATCGTGAAAAGAGTCATTAAAAATCTGTATAATCGCATATAAACACATTTCGAATAGTTCGTGTAAATTGTGTCACCCTCAAATGGGGCAATTCAAATTCCATATTTTCACGTTGATGTAACAATTCCGCGATTTGACCTTGATCAAAACGTAGAAAATGATCGTTTGAAACTAGCTCGATTTGGCCTATTGAAACCAAGAACGCGTCAGTTGCTCACGTAATGTCGGTAGATATCCTTTTGCCAGTGGGTCCAGTATTTACCCTTGTAATTAAATTATTGTGCATTTCAACGGTACATTACTGCAACTATGTAAAAAATAACAATTCTTGAATACAAAAGACATCCAGTCAGCCCACCCCAAAAAAAGGATCTAAGACCGACCCTGACAACTACAGGTCATAGCTATAGAGTTATGCTTTCTGTTATAAGTTTAATGTACTGTACCTTAACAAACAAAAACTTGACACTTGATCTGGCACGAACACATCTCGTCAATAGCGGCAGCAGCTGGGAAAAAGCTGCCTAGCCTGTTCACGGCTAAGAAGTACTTTTCTCCGCATGACCTTCTCACTATACAAGGCCCATATAAGGCATAGCCTTGAGTATTACTCACACGTTTTGGGTGCCGCCCCGACTACATTATTTATGCTCGATGCTGTCCAGAGTAGGGCTGTCCGACTAATCGATGACTCTTCTCTAACAGACAGTCTCGATACCCTTTCGCACTGACGGGCCGTCGGCGATCTAGATCTTTCTACCGCTACACCAACGGGCTTTACTCCTCAGAGCTCTCTTCCATGATGCCGCCGCGCGATGTGCCTGCCAAACAGATCTGCCTGACTTTGGCCTGCCATCCTAACCGTGTCGAACTTCGTACATCCAGAACTGGCCGACGCGACCGCTTCTTTGTCCCGAGGGTGTGGAGATTGTGGAACAATTTACAAGAGGAAGCTTTTCCCAGTTCTACTAACCTTAGGCAGTTCAAAAATCGGATTAACAAAATTTCTTTGCGATCCTCATAGCAAACGCGGTGTCCTGGTATTCAGACTTCTGTCTGCGCGGCTGCTTCGGTATAAAAAACACGAATCATACAGTATAATAATGTATGTTAGTTTTTTTCTAGCTTATAAACGTTTTTGTCGCGTTCTTTAGATCGTGGTTATGATGTCCCAGAAAAACCTGGTTATCAGCGGTCATGAACCTGAAGCCGTACTATGGAATACGTTTAACAACCGGTTAAAGGGAAACAGTTGATCATTTGGCGGATCTTCTGCAACGAAGTGTCAGTCACAGATAGTGTCAGTCGTGTCATTGTAAAATACCATCGTTTCTTAAATAAGTGGCTTATAACTCGCATAGTAAAAAAGAGATACAAGATAAAAAACAAAAATGAGCAGTTTGTAAGAATAGAAACATATCTCGAACAAGGAACCAAGAAAAGGGAGAGATTTTTAGATATTACTGAAACTTTCAACGTAAATGAGGGAAATAGTCACAATGATTAATCAACTTGTAATTCGTTAAATTTCATTTCTTACCTAAATTTGCGTTTTGGTTTGTACATAGTACATGGAAGTTCTTATACAAAAGAATAAAATAAAATTATTGTATTTTATGTCCTTAGATTCACAGTCAACCTAAAATTGTGATTTCACATCGCATTTTTCATTTTCATTCTCTAGTTATTGGTCACAGCATTGACCAACGTCAACCAGGTTAAATGAATGTAAGGACGCCTCAAATAAGCTATTTTTCATACACTGAAAACCCAAAGATCGTATATTCATCCATGCCTAAACATTGAAAATAATCAAATCTTCTCCAATCAACTTTTTAATGTCATAACCGTCAAACTCAAATGGCACAGATTAAAAAGTAATTGGAATGTCTGCATTTAATTAAAAAAAAATTAAATGCTACAAAAATCGAAAAATAGACTCAATCCGTCATACCAACTTATTTTTGGAAATTAAAAAGTAAATAATAAAAATATGTAAACCATAAAGCAACTTTAAAATCTTGCATATCGTTTATATTGGAAGTTTAGGAGACCAAATATTCTGGCGGAACTATATACACTATACATATAACTGGTATATCCAAAAATCTTGTAAATAGCGTCAAATTGCAGTATATTATAAAAGGCCTTTACTAGCTTTATTGATGTGAAAAATATCATGAATGAAGTTGTATACTTAAACGTAAATAGCATTTTTCTAGCTTAAGTTTGTCTCCAAGTGAAGATTGATTTTCCTACATTTTCTAGTAAATCCAGATCCTAGCCCACAGGAGCGTTTTCTTAGTGCCTCAAAGTTTAGAGCCCTTTCTATAATTGTTCCTTAACCTTCCTTCTTTATTCTGATGATACATCATTTGCAATGATACTCTGATAGTTGGAAGTGACCTGAGATATTAGTGGCGTTCGTCTTGCAATCGAAGTGCAACAGTCCAAGCCAATGCTGTCAAATCAGTAAATGGCAGGCTCACTTCAGAGTTCAAAAATACCGTCTGAGCTAACCTCGAAAAGGACATTAACTCCTAATTGATAAATTGAAAGCTTTAGATCGAAAGAGAGCACGTTTGGTATTTGGAAACACTCCTAAGTGCCAAGGCAAATACGGCTTCCTTGCAGGAAGGCCTCAAGGAACGACTATACAACCAGCCCTTTACAAATCACAACATATCCCCTTGCATTCTGTAAGGAACTTTAAAAAACTAGCACTACTAATACTTTGTCAACTTATGACCATCTTGCTAGCAAACGTAGGAGATAGATCCAAACTCGATTTTTTTTTGTTTATTATGGTAATTGTTCAAAAAGGAAAGACAAACCGTTCAAATTTATTTTTCAACGTCTCTGACGTGAATGCACGTTTTTGAAAAACAAGTAACTCCAAAAAATACGTCAATTTTTTGGAGTTAGTATATGCTTCGAACCAGAGTAGTTCTACACACCTATTCGGCATATTTCACAACAGATTTCCCCGTAATGCTGTGAGATATACTTATATCGCTATGCTGTCATATGGGTGGGAACTAGGGACTAATTTTATGGACACAGACCCACCAACAAAACAGTTCAATGACTTGAATGTTTGTAGGTAATTTTTTTCGCTCGGGGGTAAGTTGTTGCAAACATAACCTTTTATAAACTGATGACAGCGTTGCATCGGAACTTTTTTTTTTCAAAGTTCAAAATTCAAAGTTTATTCAAATTCAAAAACCAATATTACTTACAAATTAAAAACAACCTTCAGTACAATTTAAATAAAAAAATCTTCAAAAATACATGAGCTTGTATGCTCTTGCTACCCTGAATAACCAAGATTGCAACAGAAATCTGAGCAAAGATACTAGCATCAGATCTAGAACCAGCAAGTAACGGTATATGAATTGTGAAAATTCTGTATACTTTCGTAAAGGGTAAATGTCTGGATCTTGTCGTCACAAATCCTAAATTACGTGTCTGCATAAACAAATCTAAAATTCATAACAATAGTACAGAAGCATACTAAAAACACTCAGAAGTATAAACATAGAGTACATAAAATATGAATATCTGAAATATGATAATAGAGGGATATTTCGAGTAAGGTCAAACTATGTTGTTTAAACAATAAAAAGTTTGCGTAAAGGTTGAGCAGAGAAACAAGAGTACTACAATTTACTACAAAAGAATTTACTACAAAATAATAGACACCTAAGCTATAAGCTTGTGTGTGTGCAGTCATTTTACTCGATGCCATTTTTTTCGCTTTGGCAAAGTTGACCGTTTTCGAATTATATGTGATTTAAGGTCTGAAAAATCCTAAATATAGCCATTCTAAATGCTTTAAAACTCTTACAAATCGCCACTTTTGATATTACCAATGTATAAACTGGAATTCGAACGTTCCCCAACAAGGTCTCGGAAGGTATTTTCGCGCGTTCCTTTAGTATACGGAATATTTCCGTAATTTAGACACCTTAAAACCTCAAAAATAATAATTTATAGCAGGGTTTTTAAGCATTGATGTTCACACAATTAAATCCCATATAACTCAAGAACAATCAATCACGGTTATCAAGGAGCTTTATTGTTCAAAACAACCCAACAATAATGTTAAAAAATGTAATTTGTTTGCGTTTGCGTGTTTACTGTCTCTTGATTCATGCGAAGGTGCATCGTGATTCAACATAATCAAAAAAATCGAATTTGAAAATTTCTCCTACGAATGCGAGGTTTTCGATTCGTCTAAAAGTAGCCTTGCCTCGAGGGTCTTTCTTTTCATGATCCCCAACTTCATACTGAGCTAGCACAATTATTATACTTTATTAACATGTGACACTGCTGCTCAAGCCTTTGTACATTTGCTACCAAATAAGAATTTTCAATGAAGAGTTCTTTGACCATAAGATCGTTTCTCTCCAACTTGCTGAGCTGCTCGTTGCCGATTCTGATCTGTTGGTCTAGTTTTTCTTGCAGGTACTTGACTTTGTTGTGGAGTTCCGAGCGTTCGCCTTTGAACTGGTGCCAGTAATCTGTAAAAGAACAAATGCGTCAAGTATATTGTTTTGGTAATTCCACAAAAGATGAATTTATCTGATGTGATATCTGAAACTTCTCCTGGTTGTCACGCATGAATCTTATGTTTGACTGGCCACCAAATAAAACCCCAGATGTAGAGTGAAGACTAACATTTTGGCCTACTCAGTGGCCTTTTTCAAACATTATATACTTTGAAGGCCACCGAGCTGGTGGAAATCTTAGTAAACATCCAGTTCTTAGCGCAATATTTTTGCATGATATTTTAAGCTTTTGACTGTATCAATCAAAGTAAAAAAATGATCGTTGACTGCAGACAAAAAAAAAGATGCCAAAAATCACTCAAACGGTACCACTGTTTCCAAACCAGAAATTCGAAAGAAAAATACGAATTGTTCATTTAAAATGTTTCGCCATTTTGTAAATATAGTATTTCTGATAAATTTCATTTACTCCAAAACCCCAGGATATGAATTTTTAGATCACTTAATCAAGTTTTACACATCCATCCAACATTTTTATCGGTCCCAAATAAGAGTACATTGTTTCGGCTAAAAGATTAGGCTTTAATAAATATCGATGCAAGCACAATTAGACCCAGAGTATAAATTCCGTTACAGCTACTACGTCCGTCAAGGTATAAAGTAGTTGAGATCTTTCTGTGGACAACATTATGTGAGACATTGTTTGTTTATTACAGTATCAAAATTTCGTTGAATTATGTAATGAAGTTCAGATATTAAAAAAACGGCGTTAAGTAGGTTGAATCTGTACTTCCCATGCAACGCCGTTATCAAATTGTGCTTGCTTTTGAGTTATATCATATTTTATCAGCCGGACACTCCACATTGAACTTGCGGTTAAAGCGAAACTTATTGGTTGTCAGATCACCCCTGCTAAGGTCGGCATCTTACCTTTGCAGTTCGACTAAAAGGATTCATGCTCCCAGCTGCCCTGACGCCACATTCGATGTGCCACCACTCCCGCGACAGTAATACCAGAACACTTACATGGGCAGGCACGCCGCCGGAAGCAGAAGCAGACGCGGCCGTTAGGTACGCGATTCGTCTGCTGAGAATATTTCTCCTCCGTGATACCGCCGCGCGATGAGCCTACCAAACAGACCCGCCTGACTTCAGCCTTCCATCATAATCGTGACAAACTTCGAACTTCCAGAGCTGGCCCGTTGGACAGCTCCTTTATCCCTAAGGTGTCGAGATTGTGGAACAGTTTGAATGAGGAGGCGTTTTCCAGTTCTACTAATCTTAGGCGGTTCAAAAGTCAGATTAACAAAAGAGTCTTAAGCTCCTTATAGCAGCCGCGGTGCCCAGGCATTTAGGCTTCTGCTACGAGGTTGCTTCCTGCTTCCGTATAAAAAAATGGCGTCAAGTAAATAGACTCTGTACTTCTCACGCCACGCTGTCATCAGTTCTTAAAGTATTATGTTTGGAACAACTTAGTCCTGTTGAGAAAAATGTTAGCCAGAAACATGTATAACAAAAAATTAAATGACCTTCCTCCCTCTGGGAGGAGGCGCACATGATCGTGGCGTTGACCAATCCCGCGTGAATAACGATATTGGCCTTTACCATGCACAGTGCACGCAGTCCCACAGCAGAGTGTAAGCGATATCCGACTGTAAAGTACGACCACCGAAGACGACGCTTGTCCATCGGGTGGCGACGTCGCACGTATCGACACCCGGCTATATGAGATATTTCTGTTTTAAAGGCTAATATACCGGGAAATCTATGATGTGTAAAATATGTCTAGTTGGCGTGTAAAATTAGCAAGGTTGAGAGTGTATAAATATAATAAGATAAAAAAATTGAGATATACCGTCCCCATCTACCTACAATATGTTGTACACATCATATAACATCAAAAAAGTAAAAACACAATTTCTCGTAAGACGCAGAAGAGTTAGCTTCGATCCAAAACATCAAGAATTAACAACGTCTGACGCGGGCTGAACAGCCCAAGAAGAACAAATCGTTTGGACAATGACTGCGAAAGTCTCATACACTTCAATATAACAGCATCTTTCATGTGCCTTACACTCGTAAGGAAGCCCTGTATAATTCTTTTATAGGAACACATTCTTTTTTTGTACTCTATATCCAGAGACATTGACTATCTATTTTGGGACATATGGGTGTTCCTTAATGATATTCGAATATTTAAGGGTGTGAATCTACATGAAAAATTAATGGTTTTTTGCCAAATAAAAATTATTTTTCACCGTTCAATTTAAAACAAATGATCTCTCTTGAATTGATTTCCTTCGATGCGCCATTTTTGAGTAAAAAAATAAAAACCATTCTATTGACCGAGAAAATTAATTTATCACCAGAGATATCCCGATCGTGCTTTGCCAGATAGTCGATCCTTTTCTAATATTCATCGTCGTCTTGTTGTGTACGCTCAAAATGAAACCATTATTTGGGCGTAGTGAATAAATTAACGCATATTTTCAACATGCATCTTAATTCAAGGAACTCTTGTAATATATTGGCAACGCGGCAGCTATTCAGGCGGCTTCTATCTCTTTTACAGACTTACCTCAATTTTCTTTAGCAACAGTTGCCTTTGCTGCTTGATGATGTTCCGTTAGTAATAAGAAACAATATTTGGTACAATCTTGATGGTGCACCAGCGCATTTCAGTGTAGCGTGTAGTAACTATTTACAAACTGTTTATCCAAATCGTTGGATTGGCCGCGGTGGGCCCCAAGAAAGTTCCCAGACCTCAACAGTTTAGATTTCTTTTTGTGGGGCTATCTTAAGACTCTAGTGTACACAAGTCCCATTAACACTGTAGAGGAATTAAGAGAAAGAATAGTTGCAACTTGTGATAGAATAAAAAACACTCCAGGTATATTTCAACGAGTGCACAATTCCATGAGAACGAGGGCGGAAGCATGCAAACTAAGTGAACGCGGCCATTTTTCAATGTTATTTTTATGTTGTCAGTTGTTGTTGTTCATTACCCCTAATGTGTTTAATTTTCCAATTAAATTAATAATAATTTTGTAAGTTATACAATAGAACGGTTTTTATTTTTTTACTCAAAAATGGCGCATCGAAGAAGCAACTCAAGAGAGATCATTTGTTTTAAATTGAAGGGGAAATTCAAAAATAATTTTTATTTGGCAAAAAACTATTGGCGTACCATTTTTTTCTTAAAAATACCCGTACAAATAAAAATTATTTTTGCATTGAAAAATATGCAACCGTATTAACTTTCACTACGTACTAAATATCAGTGAAATATCTGAAGCGGTTCTGAAAATATTAATTAATTTCCATTTTTTGCCTAAAACACCCCGAATTTTTGGACCATAAAGCAAACTAACATTAATTTTTCATGTCGATTCAGACCCTTAAATATTCGCATATCATTAAGAAACACCCTGTATATTCCACACTTAAACGTAGCTACAGGTTAAAAATAAATTACAATAATATGTTGTACTCACGTTGCAACGTCTGTTCACTACAGTAATGTTGCTGTTTGATACACATTTGTAGATATCGAACCCTTTGCTCCAAATAATTCTTCCTTGCAGTCAAATTGTGGAACGAACTTAATGGTAACGTCACTGTCTTCTCTTGCTGCAAAGGCTAAAAAAATATCTATATTACAAGTCAATTTTTCCATGGTGACACTATAAAGTAATTACAAGCTTATGTTGCAAATTAAGGAAGAAGTTAAAAAACCTGTGCTTTTGAATCGGACTCCATCAACTTCAAACAGTATTTACGAGAAATTTGGGATATGGTAGTACATGAAATTCCTTTCATTTTTTACGTTTTTGCTACTACTTTACTGCCCATTTCAGATCATCTCGTACAACCAGGCCTTATGCCATGAGTCTTACAGTGTTTTAAAAAATATCTCTGCGTTCATCTAGGGGAAAGTTATGTTCCACTTACTTGATGCTCTTCAATCTTCTTTGGTTCCTGATTCTTTTTGTACACATTCTTGTCGTGCTTCCTCGTTCTTTTAGGCCTACACGGTGTTGAAGTTTTATCACTAGATGAGGCGGATGCAGTTGTATTTGTAGGAGAGTTGAAACTCCAATTTATTGGAGTCGAGTCTGAAGACCTGTAAGGAAAACATCATTTGATAATAGAGGGTGTTAGAGAATGTTACTAGGAAAGGTCATGGAAATGTTCAGCACGTCTTATGGAAAAAAGTAACTCTAAAAACAAACATAACAGAAAACACTTTCAAGTAGAATATATATGGCGTTGAGAAAGCTACTCTTATTCTTGCAGCAACCAATACATATAGTACAATTTTCCGCTAAACAACTTGAGACAAGTTCAAACAGCTTGTATCATGATCCCGTTTTTATAGACTTTTTTCATACTTTGCATGCTGAATCTAACCTCTTTTTTTTGTTTTCCGACAGTCAGCCTGCATATATTATGGAGACTCAACCAACCTACTTTTTTATATGGCAGAAACCTAAATACTGGACCACCGCGGCTGCTATAAGGAGCTTAAACACTCTTTGTTAATCCGATTTTTGAACTGCCTAAGATTGGTAGGCATGGAAAACGCCTCTTCAGGCAGACTGTTCCTTAATCCTGACACCCCAGGGTCAAGGGAGCCGTCGCACTGTGGGGCCATTGGATGGAAATTTGAAGTCTCACCGTCCTATGCAAAGTTTTATTTGTACTTTGACTCAAATACATAAAATAATGTAATTTTACTGCATACTCATTGGCAAGAGCAACTAAAGCTGAACTGACGAATCGAACTCTTAAATTACCTGGACGGATACTCTTGAGCAGCCCCATTCGGAGGCATCATTTGTTCTGAAGACCTATTGGTACTTTCTACCACATAACTTGAGAAATTCTGCATTTTATTCAAAAGCATTCCTTCATCATCTTGGGATACTTGAACACCACAGTCTACTGTTTGATGTTTCAACGCCAGTTCTGTCAGTTTTTCTTTTAATAACGCTATCTCCTCGTCCCTTTTGAAAATTTCGTTCTCGCTAAAAACCGAAACATACATTGTGAAAACGTCTTATTACATCAAAAGATCAAAGATGTCGTCTTTTATATCCTCAAAATTTGAATTACAGAGATAAACAGTTTTTTCTTTAGATTATTTGTGGTTTAATGAATCGAGATATGCACATGATAGGATGACAATATGGAATATGCAATACAAGACAATGCCATAAACCCTGTGAAACAATTCAATTCCTGACATAAAACATTCCCTGGTCGTACACTATCTCGTTTCGGTGATTAGAATTGTCATCCTACAAAATACTATTTAACACCATCGGATTTTAGGATTATTAAGTCAATCATCTACGCCATCAATCCCACAGACAGTCCATTGAGGTAGGAAATTCAATGGAATGCAAAATGCTCACCGAGAATTTAGTCAAATGAATGTGTATATGTCAGGAAAGTCGACGAGGGCATTTGCTTGATGTGTTATTCATGTGCTCTTTATGATTCAATAAAAAAACAATATGCGAAAATTTTGTATTACTTATTCACAATCATAGAAAAATGTTACCTGTGTGCTTTGTACTCTTCAAATTCCTGCTCTAGATCAGTGAATTGTTTTTCTAAGTTATAAGTCTCGTCTATGGTAGGTAACCTCGAATCCAGAGACTCTTGAGTAGCGTACTGTTCTTCATATTCCTTCATTTTTACTATTAAATCCGCCAGTTTATCGCTATTTATTTTTTGTTCTGCTTCAAACATCTGGCGTTCTTCATCAACCTAAAAGAAGAAACTAGTTTTTAAAATACCATGATCTCAAATGTCCGGAAAAAAATTAATTAGAATTCCAGGTTTCCTATACCGAATCTCGAAAGCTTCAGTACTTCAATTTGACAGACTATCTAGCAAAAGTCAGTCGACAACCGAAAACCTACTGCTAGGTGATTAGATTTAAAAACCATCAAAAATGTGATCGCACATTTTTTGCGATATTCAACAATTTTTGTTGAATAACAGATTGTCAGAATTATCAGACTGACTTATATCGATCTTTTTGCCGTATACGCGAAATCCAAAGCAATTCTAATAGAAGTCTTCAAATGTTAATATTTTCAATATTAAGATTCTTTTTATTAACAAAGATTTTTTGCTAACCTTATTTTGCCAATAATCTTCACATTTTTCGTATTCTGTTCGTAAAAGTTCGACGCAATTTTCTAGTTCGTTGCATTTGGTACAGAGCTCCTCATTCTCTTTTTCTAGTTTCCTTACTTTTTCTTCAAATGACTCCACAAAACCTTCTGTCTGGATACCTAATAAAACAAGAGGTATTTCAGAATGTTACCAAAATAGTTCACCACGATAAAATACGAAAAAAGGTTCATATAAAAATTGATCCAGAAATACCTCGCTTCTATAAACTTGCCCGTCTTCAATAATTCCCCTCACATCATTCAAAAACAGATTGAGATACTGAGATAAATTTTTTTCATTATCAAAATTCAGATTAACTGTACACAATTATTTATTAAAACACTTACACAGTGGCGTTCCTGCCGCTACATCGAGCGAAAAAGCTAAACCACTGGTTGTTGCAATAAAATAGTATCTGACAAACATAGAGGATCATTAAGCTTTATATTTTCATTTTTGCGTATTTCATATTCCTTTTTGGGTACATGAATACGGTATATGGTCGGCTATGGCAGAATACGTTTCTCAACGGGAGACATACTTTTTAGTTTATTCTTCAACTTACCTTCATCAATTGTGGCCTGAATGACAGTCACATCTTCACACTGGATAGTCTGCTCTAATTTTTGAACAACATTTTTGATATTGCTTGCAGACACGCAGTCTTTATCCACTATTTTGACCAGCTCCTTCTTCACTTGGGCAATGATGTTCTCCAGCTCGTTGACCCGATCCGTCAACTGGGTCAGGTCTGTGGTCATCCCATTTGTTTCGGGCTCCTGTCAGAAGGTCATACTCAGTCTTTCATTTCTCTTTTCGTTTCATAAGCATACAGAACAAGCTGATCTCATGTAAAGACTCCAAAAAAAAGTTTCTGGTAACAGCCGCTGTTCAAAACATTTTGTAATCTAGTTCTTACCTTCGTTTATTGAAAAATAGCGTCAAGTACGTTGGCTCGAATCGTCATTATCAATGGTATTAAAACACAAAAATAGATAAATAATTCTAAGCTCTGAGCAGACTTTTTTCAGAACGTAGTATTCTCTACATAGACAAAATTTCATTTTTATATCTAAAATAGATTGGTTTCATCCATTCTTTTTTCGGTCGTCTGTTGTAAAAAGCGGTTTTGAAATTCGTGCAAATTTATTTAAATCTTTTTTTTTTATACCGAAGCAGCCGCGCAGGCCTAAGGTGTGAGCAGCATGCCAGAGCTGATCGAACGTTTTCCTGATATCAAGAGAATAATGGTTATTTTCCTCACATTTAATGAGAACTCAATCTCCCTGGCAGAAATAGAGTCTCATTCTAATTTTGGCGGGCCAGTTTTGCCACTTCTTTCATAACAAATGGAAAACTCACAATACAATTTTTGGATGCAAATCGAAGATATAGTTGTAGTCACCTTTCTTGGCGGTTGCGTCATCAACGCCATATGAAAAAAGTAAACAGATCGAGTTTCCGTACCATGGGCGGATCTTAAGCTTCAGAGTATCTTCTGTTTTCATTCTCTTCCTGGAAATACTCTAATAAATTTAGCACGAGCTGTCGGCCTTCTCCATTGAACATATTTCTGGGCATTGAACAACTTTATATTGAAGTTTGATAATAGGACAACTCAAATTGCACGTCGAGGTCAAGTAAGTTGTCACTCTGACAAGTATGATTGAAGCGCACTCATACGTAACGACAAAGTTTTCGCGATGGAGACACCTAACTAAAAAACGTCTGTCTTGAGCTTACCGAACAAACGTTCACACACAGGAGTAGGTTGTATGAGGGAGATGGAGATATATAAAGGGATACTGGTAGTGTTACTTTGACTCGCCAAGAATGGTGAGGACAACTAATACTTTTTTTTTAGAAAAAAATTATTATTAAAATGCGCGAGGGATTTAGAGTTCACCAACTTAACGAAATATTGCCTTTTAGCCTTATCTCAATTTGATAACTTGCTTCGAGTCTCTTACTGAAATCAGACTAATACTTTCTCAGATCAAACAGTTTGGACAATAATACGAAAATTAACGGCATGGTCTCTCGTAACGTAAGTGTCATGAGACATTAGGAAAACTAATAATTTGTTTTTGGAACTTGATTACAAAACTTTCTAGACTATTAGAGAATAAATAAGTTTTCGAAATAATTGCTTATCTAAATTTCTAACAGAAATAATATTTAGCACGTTTCATACTTATAAATTATGAAAATCTACCGAACATCGTAATAATGGTTCTCAGGAAATTAGTGTTTGTTTTTTTTTGTGATTATTCTTCGCATGAAATCAGCTTTCTACTGATATGAGACATGTTGCCGATTAGTATAACTGAATATTTTTTGACTATATCAAATAGAAATTTCTTAGATTATATGCCTAAAGCGGAAATCCATCTTATCATAACATTTTTATTCCGCAGAAACATGCTCGAAACATGAATTTACTAGACGTCATCGGGTTGCTATCAATTACTCAAAATGTACATTTTCTCAATGCAGCCTATACAGAGTAATTAAGAAAAACGTAGAAATACTTCTGAACTAGATAGTAGCTCCAAAACTAACAAGAATTTTTGTTATACCCATGGGTCGCCAAAGGCTACCTTACTGAGATACAGGGTATTGAAATTTTAATTTCGAAAGCGAAAAAAAAATACTTTCGGGGTGTGTCAAGATATTGACTTTGTACATGTAGTACTAACAGCATAGTCAAGGAAAAGAAATTGGGAAATTTTGATCCCCTTTAAGGAGAAACGAAAACTACTTTCTACGCCACTAACTTTTTTGAAACATCTATTGTGTTTTTGAATAAGGTATTCAATTTCACGTAAAAACATTTGGCAGACTGCTCAACCGTTCTGTGATGAAAAGGTAAAAACAGTAGATATTACAAGCCGTCTACCAGGGCCGCTGTACTACGTATCGAGATCTACTATACATACCAAACTTAATAAATAGCTGTAAATCATAGAAATTTTAAGAGAGAGCTTAGCAAATGTATTGGGTGAATGAAAAGACGACTATTATTTTTTTTTACTCGAGTATAGTCACCCTCAATATGAACGCTTGAAGTGTTTTAAAAGCTTCTCCATAAACAAAAATAAAAAACATGCGTAGCTGAGCTAACAATTTTATTTAAAGCAAAAAAAACATACATAAAAACGAAATTATAAAAAATATAAAGCAGAATGCTATGGAGAAGCTTGAGAAATGGATAGCACTATAGAGCACACACAATAGTACATGGATAAAAAAATATAAAAAACTACTTACTGAGAAGTTAATACTGTTAAATCACAATGCTGCATGCTACAGATTCCTACACAGCTTCTCCACATCACAATTTAATAAGTAAAAAATACTGATATGAAGCTACTAACAACAAGCCATAGATTTGTACTGATACTCGTATTCATCAAAATAGTTGTCAGTTCATACTCTCTCAGAAGTTCTAATTATTGATACCTCAAAAACAGATTGATACTACCGTTTCAGCAACATATAACAAAAATTAAAAAAAAAACAGCGCCTGGAGAGAGTTACAAACCATCCTACCAACAACAAATTTTATCCCGTTAATGATAAAAATTCCAACAAAAGTGTATAATCGAATTTTTAATTTATAGTTGTCTGAAAAACGGACATAACAGATGAATGTAAAAAGTAGACCTGCTGTCAGAAGCTTCTAATAAAAAGTAATAAATAAGCTCTAAGTGCAACCATTCCATGATAAAATATAAAGCAAACATAAAAAACACAAAAATCATACAATCTAATCTTATATAGAGATCTATGATTTAATCACACAACAGTTGCTGTTAAGTACACGTTGTGAGTATTACATGCATTGATAAAATTGAAAAGACGGAGGGTTTTTCTGTGCTATTGATATAATTCACGAATTTCTCTTTATTCTCAGTATAGTACTGTCATTAATCGTCATTGTACTTGAAAAACGTCGTACTATGAAGAGAAATGAAAAAATATGTGATTTGATTCGGTTAGACAATGGAGTCATAAAAAACATTAAAACCACAGAATAATTTTCAAAGGTTACATTCGTAAAGTGAATTCATAACATAATTTTCTTTTGGGGACTTCAACAAAAAGTAAAATTTGTGGAAAATATTTCTAAGCAAAGCAACATATAAAGTCAAATTATCCTTTCATAACCCACCAAAAAGATCAAGCACTGAAAAAAGGGGTCAAGGTAAATAAAAATTGTTTTTCCCACCAATATTCTGCTTTGCACTTTTAGTGACTCTAAATCCTGTAATTCTTTGGAATTTGAAAGATATGAGAAAAAAATGTTGACATTTAATAGTCATTGGGGTTAATTATTTCATGTCCTTTAAAGTATGTGTGTGAATGTTTGTGGAAAATACAGCACATATAGATTATAAAAATGGACAAAAACCTATTAGTAGCCATCTCTAGGACGTGTCCTCGCAAATCTCGGACATTTCTGTTTGTAACGTAACAGCTACACCATTGATTAAAGTATTCTACTTGAAGATAACCATCTTAATACCGGATTCCAGGGCCGAAACAACTATCTGAGATGAAATGCTATGTTTCTGCTCACATGATAAGAAATCTATTTTCAATAGGTTAATGTCTCACAGATGGGGCTATAGCCATATATGCTGATGTGATGATGACTTGAACACCATCTCTAAGAAACTAACATTTTCAAAGTACATATATTCCTGATTATTGCGGAGAAGAAAACAGAGCTGCCATAAATTCTAATAGATAATGCCATGGTATCTCATTTCATCTCGGATAATTATATGAACATTGGAATACATCGCTAGGTCGACTATTTTCAGGTAGAATGCGTTAATCAATGGTCAGATACTTTTGAATGGACAAAATGTTGCAGATGTCGAATTGAATGTGCCCGCAACTTGCTAAGTTGGAAACGCTTGAGCTAAATGAAAAATCTGTTACACTTCTATGTTTCGCCGCTAAACGAAACCACAGATGCCAGAAATATTATTTACTGAGGACGACGTTTCAGTCACCATGGTGGCCTTTTTCAAGTTCAATTGACAATACTGATGAAAAGGGTATTTCAAGCATACGAGGTCTGTATATTAAGTAATGAGTCTGACCAGAAACCAAGGATGAAGTGGCACACTTCAACCTCTCCAAGGTCTAAAGGAGCAATACAGATGAAGTCAAGTTCAAACGCATGTTGATTTGCTTTTTCGATATCGTCCACAAAGAGTTTCTACCTCAAAAGGCCTAACGGTCAATCAACACTTTTACAGGGAGGTTCTTGAAAAACAAAGGTTCATTCGTGTGAAACCAAATATCAAGAACAACTGCTTTAAAATTCAAACCCTCCGACCATCTTTTACACTATCTTCAACAAGACCAGTCTCCGCTTACCTCGGCACCTGCCACTTGTAGTCCATGCTGCCTGAGCACTTGTTCCAAAAATGCCACTCTGGCCTGCAACCTAGTGACCTCATCATGGTCCGCTGAAGAAGCCACCGAGGAGTCTAAAACGTCGACCTCGGTGTCAAAACCGCTTTCGCTAGAGGCGAATGGGACCTCCAGATGGTTAGAGGAGGATGCACCCGAGGTGGGTTTCGGACGGTGGAATTTGCGGAGTTTGCCCAACCTGGGGCTGCCATCAGCTGGAAGAAAATAGGAAAGTTAGTGATTAATAAGGCCAATCGTTTATCTAGAAGTCATATGAAACCACTTATACAGATAACTACAAAACAGAGAACGCAGTATTCATCTTTAGCAACAAGCAACTTAACATACAGTCAAAAGACCAAGGCTAGACCATGCTGATGAGTAACCGAGAAGTACAAAACGGCTATGCTTCACGCGATCTGAAATCTGAAAGTCTCAACCATTAGCAGCTACCCACTTTCCGCAGTGGTCAATTCTGGTGTGATATATGGCGCTTTGCCCTGTCTTATTTTAACATGCAGTGTTTTGATTAAACAGTTCCCTAAATCATTTACATGGCTCAAGAAAGTCATTTATAAGAAATACTATATTATATTTCTTTTTCATGTTTCATTAAAATTTTCAATTTTCCAAAAACAAATTTAAACGGCTGTTTCAAAAGTAACTATTTTCAAAGTGACTGTCTATTTATCTTGCACGTCTGCGGTTTTAAAATAACTCAAAACTCAAGTTAATCGCATCTATGACATTTCTGCATTTAAATACATATTTCTGAAGATTTCGCAATTTTGGCATTTTAGTCCAAAATCCACACATTTTCGAATATTTAATTTAGTACTTTTATATGACCACTATTTGAAATCTATAATAAAATTCACTAAGACATGAATGAAAGTATTGCTCCACTGAGCTCACAATAACAAAGATGGCGTCAAGTATACATTTCCTATGCAATGCTGTCCGCAATTCATACAGGATTATCCTATGAAAAAGAAGTTAGCTAAGAACATGTATAACAAAAAAATTAAATGAATCAAGTCAGTCAAACAGTCCCATACAATTAGTTCTTAGTCCCCACCAATTTGACAACCCTGCGATCGACAAAATTTTCCCCTGTCCTACCGACAGTACAGACCATCTAGCAACGTTGCTTTATCAAAGCTATCCGCAGCCTCCCATCGGTCAGGCCGTGACGCAAGTATACAGGGTGGCCCAACCATGTGTGGGCGGAATATTACTCATAAACAAATACATTTTGGGAAAATCTATTTATGGGATGACATTTGAGGGCACATTTCTAAAATATTGGCCATTATACAGGGTGTCCCATTTTTGACCTACATATCAAAGTTGTGATTTTTCAAATGGAATGCCTCAAATGTTATTGCATATTTGGATAAACCAATTCAAAAGAAGAAAGATATAACATACTATGGGGTTTTGTTAATTAGCTGCTGAGATGTAAGGTGTTTTCTCCAGAAAAACCGTCCACTTCGGCAACCCCTCAATCCTCCATTTTGAATTTTGGAGTGCTGAATTTTGTATTAAAAAAACTTACACACCTCAGCTTTTATCTTATTTGTTACTTTTTTTAATTTCTATTTTTGCTCATACAAGGTGGTCAAAAATGCGAATTGTACTTTTTCTCAAACATTTCAAATGCATCACCCTGTATAATTGTGCAAGTTTGGATTCAGTTTTTGATAAGCTTTTTTTTGATACTAGACACATAAGGGTTTTTACAGGTATTCTTTCGGTCATTAGCACGTCTTTTAAGGAACGGCTTAATTCCCTAGCTTTGTGAGCATTATAATAAAAACGTGTTTGAAAATGAACTTTTCTAAAGAAGAAATGGTGGACATGGTTTTCGTTTTGGGCGAAGCCCAAAGAAATATGTAGTTTCCTAGCATCGCGCATTTATAAGCAACGGTACCCTAATATGCGACATCCAAGGTCGGAAACATTTTCCACACTAGGAGAACGTTTTGAATCAAGGGGAGCGGTGGAATATAGTAAAAAATGTATAAATATTTCAAGTGTCACCAATGACGCGAATCAGTTGGAGGTTCTATTAAAGTTGCAGGAAAATCCCCATTTAAGTGCACGGCAAATTGGAGCAGAAACTGATATATGCAGAACTTCTGCCCAAAGGACTATTCACAAGCATAGGTACCATCCATATCACCTATATGCTTGCAACAAGGCCTTCGCAGCACGAATGGAGTTTATTAGATTAATGCTAAAGTGAGTGAAGACACTATTTTCCTGGATAAGGTTCTTTTTAGCGATGAGGCAACTTTTAACAGCATAGGTGTTGTCAACAGGCATAACATGCACTATTATGCGACGGAAAACCCTTGCTGGGTTAGGCAAATTGATTTCCAAAATAAATGGAGCTTGAATGTTTGGGGAGGAGTTATTGGCAGACAGGTACAGAATACTTGAATTTTTTGATTGAGCATTTGCCTTTGCTTTTGGAGGATGTCAACCTGCAAACTCGGATGCATATGTATAATCGTGTGCGTAACTATTTGGACACCTGGAATAACAATCGTTGGATCGGTCGTGATGGGCATATACCTTGGCGTCCTAGATCACCAGATATGACACCGATGGACTTCTTTCTATGGGGCTACGTTAAGCAAGAGGTTTATATAGTTGTTTGTTTATGTTGTTGTTATAGTTGTTTTTCTCTATTACGCTAATTACCAAAACCCCATAGTATGTCATATAAATATTCTTCTTTTGAATTGTTTTATCCAAATATCCAATAAAATTTGAGGCATTCCATTTGAAAAATCACAACTTTGATATGTAGGTCAAAATTGGGACACTCTGTATAGTTGCCAATATTTTAGAAATGCGCCCTCAAATGTCATGTATAACATGCCATAAATAGATTTTCCCAAAAAGCATTTGTTTATGAGTAATATTCCGTCCACACATGGATGGGCCACCCTGTATATCCAGAGAAGCGTGCGTCGAAAATATTTCTCTATTCAAGGGCAAATGTACGGGGGAATCTATGACGTGTGACGTGAGATATAACCTCCCTCACCCCCTACAACCTACGTACCCCCAACTTGTTACCCCTACAAATGTTTTTCTGATGGTGATCAAGCGTCTCTGCAACGTCAAAAAACGAAGTTTGAGTTATTTTTTCGTTTTCAGCCCTAGCTCTGTCGGCACTGGACCGACTTTCAGAAACTACAAAGGTTTTTCGCCATTGATCTAGTAATGACTTTGTGTAAAAAATGCAGCAAAATCCGACCAGTACTTTCAAACTTATAGACAGGCTAAGGATTTGTGAACAAACTGACAGATCGACGGAAATAGGTAACGTCGTGATGTACAGCCTGCAAAAAGCAAAAGCTCGCCAATTTTGGCTGGAAAAACAAGGTTGACATCGCTTTAAAATGAACTAATCTCAAAATAGCCGTCAAGGTCTTGTAGAACAAAGTTTTAACTTCAATTTAGATATTCGGCGACCTCAAAAATCACACTTTTTAACCCAGTTTTTAAGCATTAAATATATCCGGACAGTACCCCAGATCGAATTTCTTTAAATAAATTACATTTTTGTGTGTTGACAAATGTTTTCCAGGTTTTGTGGATAATTCCGAATAAAAAAGTTTTCCAATAACTTTTTGCTAAAGCTGACTATTTTCGAATTATAAGCGATTTAAGCCCTAAAAACGTATATATTCCATGCTTAAAATCTTGGTTAAATACTATAATTTTTGAGGTTTTCGAAATTAAAGTTCAATCTTTGCTACACAACGCCTAGAAGAGCATTTTGAGTTTACTCCATTTGGAAGCGATTTTTAACCTTGTCTGTTAGGCCAAAATTGGCGACTTTTTTTCGCATACGACATAACATCCAAAAAACAACATCGCATTTTTGCAATCTTCCGTGATTACAAAACTTCCTGGGTAGCGGTAAAAATAGTAAACAAATTTGCAGGTTTAAGTAGGTAAAACATTCAAGGGTTAGGTTCATTTTAAGAATGCTTGAGAAATCGAGAAAATCCATCAAAAAGCAGTTTCAAACCAAATTAAATAAACCACGGTCAGGGCGTTGGCTTTCCAATATGATCGAAAGACACGCTTCAGATATTTTCTGATTATCTGGAAGCTACATTGACGTAAGAGGCGTACGTAGTGAAAAAGCTATACCGCGTTGAAAAAGAATAATGAAAGTTGGTACGAAGAAAACGCACTGGCGAGCACTTTGGATTCGATCCGGTCATAACGTTGAATAGGCTTTGTACTATCGTCAAACAATTTATTTTCTTTGAAAAGACTAAAATTGTGAATGAGTTCAACGGTCTCAGGGTACGTACGAGGGCCAATTTACCGTAATTTTCCAATATGTTGAAAATTAGGCCGCTTACAAATTGTTATATAAATTTGACCATCAATTATATTGTCAGGAAGGCAAAAAAAAAACGCAGTTCATTAACATCTTTTTAAATTAGTTCTTGATAAGAATGTAGTCTTAGTCGAATTACTTTTCTGAAAAATAATAATTCTATAGATAAATAACATGTTCTTAATTAATACCAACTTGATGATAATTATACACGGTGTACAGGTACTTTAGTACAAAGTCGAACCAAACCGTTTTTGAGTTGTGAAATCCTAGAAAAAGACCTACATCGCTTGTTCAATAGTGAAGACCAACCCGTTTGTTCTCCTATTTTCATTATTTATCATAATACACCTATACAAATAGTTTCCAAGTTTGAAGAAACTTCTTCAACTCTTTTTAAGGTATGTCAAATAACGCAATACAGCCATATTTTTCTTCTCAATAACCCAAAATATTAGATCAAGCAGAATGTCATCGAAATTACAAAAAAAAGATAAAATCCCCTTTTCGTGAAATAAAGCACTTGATATTGTCAAAATCATTCTTACATTCGATAAAAAAATGCAAATTGTTATTTCTTACTCATGTTCATGCCCTTGTTCCATATTTCTGTAACAGTAGTCCGTTTAATATACAAAAATAAAATTAACATTTTCAAGAACATTACAAAACTTCATAGCCAACAATGTACCCCAAAAACGCAAAACCGTGGTTATGTTGTAATTTGATATTTTTATGTGTGGACCTAGACAAATGCATTAATTTATACGATGAAACGACTTCCAATGATCATTTGATTTGCAAAATTTATGTATTATTTACGAAAATGGAAATCAAGATCCT